GGGGCGGAAGGCAGCTCGGCCCCGCGGCTGGGTGGGGACAGGGACGCTCCTCGTCCCCACCTCCGCCTGGCAGAGCCGGCAGCCGCTTCCAGCCGGGGGCTCGTTTCCTTCTTTGTTTCTCTCCTCCTCCTTTAATTGGCTGGAAAAGCGGAGCTGGGTTGGCACCTCCCGCCTGCCGGAGCCTGCCAGGCTTGGGGGCGCGGTGCGGGGCCGCGCGGTGCCATGCGGTGACATGCGGGGACATGCAGTGCCACGCCAAGCCAGCACATCCATCCCTGCTCCCTCTTGGGGTTGGGATATGGGAGTGGGGCCGCGGGTCCGTCCCATCRTCTCCCCAAGCCTTGGGGCTCGCCCGGGGCACCGGGACCCTCTGGAATGTGACAGGAGCGTGACCCCATCTCCACCCCTGGASAAGCAGCTCATGAGCTCGGCTGAACGAGGGATGGGCGAAGGGAGAGGATGGTCCGTCCTCCATCCCCAGCTCTGTGTGACATCCGTGTGACATTCCTGCGTGACAGCGGGACCCCTCTKCACCCTGGGCGCTCCCATCCCGTCCCACCCTCCATTCCCACTCCGATTTGCCCGGGTTTGGCCATCTCCGGGAGCAGCGGTGAGCGCCACCCGCCTCCGACATCTGCCGGCATCTTTTGTCCTCGCACGGCTCCGGGTCCCCAGCGCGCCGCTGGCCCGAGGTCGGCGGGCCCGGGCCACATCCCCACGCCTGGAAAAGGGGGAAGRAGCCCGGCCTGAACTCGGATTGGAGGTTTTCAATTACACAATTAAATGCACAATTAGGTGTAATTAGCAGCGCTCGGAAGGTGCGGCTGTTCATAATGGGCTCGTAATCTGCTGCCGCCGCTGTTTGTACTGCTCCGCTCCGCTCCGCTCCCTAATGATTATGGAAAGCTTTCCCATTTGCATGGTTGCCATGGAAATGGGGGGCTGACAGGAGCGCGGGGATGGCGAGGGGAGACCCCCACCCACCCTGGCTCCCCACGCCCCCTCTCCGCGGGGTGGGTGTGGTGACACCCGGGGCTCTGTGGGATGCTGGGTGCCGGCACGGAGGGGTGAGATCCTCCAGGGATGGGCTGTGATGAGGT